ATGAGGATGAATAAAGATATATATTTTCAGGCCTCTTTAAAGACAGTCTTTTCAATGTAAACAATTACTTATCCTCATCACATGCTGCCTCTGGGTTGGGTTACAGTGACAGATGTGATGCTGAGCTTATTGCTTCTGTCCCTGTAGGATAGGCTGCCTAGGAAACGGTTCAGACTGCAGGTGCACAGAAATGAACAGCCACATTCCCTCCACCCGCCCACATTAAAAAACAAATTCCCTGCAGATTAGGAGTGGCCCTTGGATTTTCATTAATGTTTTATTGAAAATAGGAAGGACTTTTATATAAAAACACACACATTTTTCAAATGATCAGCTGTGAGTTAACAATTCTACCGCTAACAAACCATTCCCAAAGCCCTCTGCCTCACCTTTTTTTCCAGAAGGAGACATTTTTCAGCAAATTTTTAACTTCTGACTTATTTTAAAAAAATACAGGATATGATGGTGCTGTGCAAACACTTACATAGCCAAGCTGTTTGGAGAATTATTCCAAAATAGTGATCCTGGCAATGTTGGAGATGAATTAAAACAAAAGAACTACTTAGAAGTAAAAGGATGTTTTTAATACAGATTGTTTGGACAGCATTTGGACAAATTTTATATTTGGGCTGGTGGGTGTAAAAGCTTTGTTAAGGGCATAGCCTCAGAGCTGAGCTGTTAATACTGCATATTTCAATCCACTACCTCTTAACATACAGCTGGTGTTATTTAAGAAATTCAATCAGATGATAGTTGAAATTATTAAAATTTACCACTTCAATGAGCAGAAACCAGCCATTTAACCTATGCAAGTCAGCTTGATGTGCAACACCGGTAGTGATAAGGGTGGAAAATAATCTGGACTCGGCACAGATAAACACGTTTTACCACATTGAAGCTTGCTGAAGTTTCCTTCTTCCTTACGCCATTCAGCCCATACGCCTTTCTTTCAGCTCAGGAGAACATACCTTCCACATTAATGTCCTTTCAAACTCCAAGCTCCTTGTATGCCCATCACTGACCCAGACCTTGATCCCAAACCACTCACAATAATAAAGATAATAATAATCCTTGCACTGATATAGTAACTTTTACATCGTGAGGACTTGTCAAAGTGCTTCACAGGAATTACTGTAGAGTGCAGTGACTGTACATTTTGTAGGTGAATGTGGCAGCTCGTTTGTTCACAGCAATGTCCTACCAACAGTTATGAAACAAATGACCAATTTTATTGATTGTCGGCAAGGGCACTGGAAGAAATCTCCCTTCTCTTTTCGAATAGTGCCATATGATTTTTAACATCCTCTTAAATGGACAGACTGGACTGCAGTTTAACATTTCACCCCCCTACAATGCAATGGATCCCCAGCATAACATTGGAATACCTGACTATGCTGATTATGTGATTTCAAAGTCCTGATGTAGGGCTTGAAGCCACAACCTTCTGACTCAGAGGCAAAAGTGCTTCCAACTGAGCCAGGCTGACACAATGTCAGAATAAAGTCAACAACAACAAATTGCATTTATTTAACACGTTTCACATCGGGAGAACATCCCAAAGTGCTGAACAATTGAGGGTTTGCACCTGAGCAGGGGTTTGCAATATGGAGGAGTAGTGGCCGAGGTGGTAGGGATGGAAAGATGACTGAAGGCACGGTCAAAGAGGAAGGTCTTGAGATGGACCTTTAAGGAGGTGAGGGAAAGGGCGTGGATGGGGATCCAGAGCGTGGGGGCAGAAAGGCTGAAGGCCTACAACTGATGCTGGGGTGGCAGGGCGGAGGATATGAAACATTTAGAAATATAAATTAAACATTGCACAGTGTCTGCCAAGCGGAGGAAGCGAGCAGGTTGTTAGGGTTTTAAAATATCACAGAGGGGATTTTAGATGTAAGGACGAGGATCTTGAACCTGATCCTCTCGGGGATGGGAGCCAGTGGAGCTGGACGAGGATGGGGGTGATGGGCTTGTGAAATCTAGCATGGGAGAGGACACGAGCTGCAGAGTTCTGAACGGTGTGCAGCTTGTGGAGAGAAGAGTTGGGAAGTCCGGTGAGCAGAGGGTTGGTGTGTCAAACCTGGACGTGATAAAAGCATGGATAAGGTCCCAGCAGCCTGAGGCAAGAGGTGGTGGCACAGGCGGACAATGTTGCAGAGGTGGAGGAAAACAGAAAACTGGGCATGGATGTTGGGTTTAAGGACAGTTGAGAGTTGAACAAGACACTGAGATTTCAGAATGTGGAGGTGGACAGTGGATCCATGTAGATTTATGCTGTCAGCGCCTGAGCTGAGAAGGGCCTGACGAGAGCTAAGCAAGCTGGCCTCTGTCTTGTCAACATTCAACTGGAGAAAGTTAGCTCGCATCTAGGATTTGATGTCTGGCAGGCAATCGGTCAAAAGTGGAGGCAGAGAGATAGATTGGGTGTCGTCTGCATACATGTGGAAGTTCACCTGCAGGTCACATCACTAAGTGGGAGAATGTAGGAGAGGACCAAGGATAGAGCCCTGAGGAACACCGCATATGACCTTTTGGGGCCGGGTAGAGAAGCGATTGGCAGATACGAAGTGGAGAAGTTGCGATAGGTAAGAATGAAACCAAGCAAGGACAGAGCTGGGAAGATGAAACTGAGAGGAAAAGGGGAGAGAATAGAATAGTCACCATCTTGAAAGCAGCAGAGAGGTCAAGAAGCAAGAGGAGGCAGACAGAGCACCTGGTCACAGATGGAGAGAATGTCATTTGTGACTTTAACCAGGGCAGTCTTGGTACTATGGACAGCACGAATGCTGAATTGGAGGGGTTCATGCAGGGAGTGCTGGGAGAGGAAAGAGAGAAGCTGGAAAGCAAGCAATGATTTGTTTCAATACCTTGGAAGAGGAAAGGTAGATTGGATATGGGATGTAGTCAGGGAACAGGGATAGGTTGAGGGAAAGTTTTTTGAGGGAAGTTTATGACTGCTGTTATGAACGGGCTGGTTTTAAATGGAATAGGGGATGACAGCTGTTTTGAAGTCAACCCTCTGTGACGGTCTCAGTAGTCTGGTTCCTGAGCCAGATGGGTCTGTAATACTCCAGGGCACTGCTGATGGCAGACCAGCAAGGCTGGCTCATCGGGATGATTTGGAAGAGCAGTTCAGTTACTGGAGCAGGGATTCTTCACACTCAGTTCCTTTTCACACGCCAAGCCAAATCCTAATGGGTAGCATGGTCTTAGTTGGACTAGTAGCAGGAAGCTTGCCAAGCAGTTCTTTCAGTGAAAGCTGTGCAGTTTAGCTGGTTAAACCCCAGCAGCTCCGCAAAACACACTCTATGGTCCCCAAGGCTTGGCTCTTGCCAACATGTGCCTAATGTTCTGGAATTAAGTAACAGGATCTGTCCCTCCATGGAGAGAGTGTGCACCCAGCTGACCAAAAAAAACACAAGCCGTGTTTCCCCCCTGTAATGTAAATGAAATGGATGTTCCTTTATAACACATTTAGACAATTGATGAGTGCTGTCACTTTCTTTACTCCACGTTGATAAATGCTCAGGGTTGTGCTAATCCTTATAGAAGAGATTTATGCTCTGAATAGCAATTCTAAACCTTGAAAATGGCTCATAGGTATTTTGCTGAAGTTGAAAAGTGATTTGTGGTCTAAACATCAATTTATTTGTGAAAAGCTCCAATCTTTTTTGAATTGAAATTGAATTTACTTTGTTAATAATAATATTGTGGCATACTTACTGTGTCGGTAATATAAAGCTATTAAAATAAGATACAATTTACAGTTACATAGAGCTTTTCACACCGAGAGTGCATCTTAAAGAGCTTTACATTGGGGGTGGGAGCCAAGAGGGATGGAGAAAGATAATGATAATCAAAATAAGAAGCCTTGCATTTAATAAAGTGACTCATCACGTTGAGACGTCTCAAATCGCTTAAAAAAATATATTGTAAAGTCGATTGACTGTGTATTTTGTAGGCGAAACACAGAAGCCAATTGCAAGATGACCAAAAACAAGTCCAAAGAGGTTTTTATGTTTTAAGATGTATCTTGAAAGAGGGGAGGGACCATTGAATTAGAAAGAATCCCAGAGATAGGGGGTAGAAATCTAAATATAAAATTTAGCAATGTCAGTTCGATATTGTTTCAGTCGGACCCTGAGGAAGAATTCAAAAGTTATAAGGCCCATCATTCAAAGCTCTATTCTCCTGTGCATTGTCTCAGAGAACTGCTGTGGATCCTTGGTCCCTGATGCAATAAAACAACTTCAGCAAATATCACATACTTCAAAGACTACTACTAATAATAATAATCCTTGCATTTGATATAGCACCTTGTCACATCTTGGAGACATCTCAAAGTACTTCACAGAATATTGTGTAAAGTGTAATGACTGTATATTTTGTGGGCAAAACAGGACAGGCCACAGCAGGACAAAGTACAAGGAACAGGACAAAGCACAAATAGTTGCACAGTGGAATGGAACTCCAGATACATTAACAGGATGGATAAAGATAGTTATAGTTCAAAATGGTAACTACATTGATGGTCTATTTAAGTGTTCCCCAGAGTTGTGAATTGTATGATCTTGCTGCAGCATTATTTTTCCATCAATCTGTGAAGATTCAGTCACACTTGTAATAAGTTTTCATATTGACAGAAAGTATTCAAACCATGAGAGAACTAGTCCAACCTGTTTTTCATGAGGATTCTGGTAAGAGGATTGTGAGTTTATGTCCCACATCAAGCCTTGTAGTTAGTTGGGTGACGTTATGTAATACTTGGGGTAAATACATTGTAAAGTGAATTGACTGTATATTTTGTGGGAGAATCGCGGCAGACAATTGATTACAACAGTGTCCCACAAACACTCGTGGATAGAAGTGACCAATTTATTATTTTTTTAAGGAATTATTACCCACGGAAAAAGCGATCTGCCAATTGAACAAGAGCCAGGTTCCTATTTACTACTAGGTAAACAGAGTGTGTGGAGTAAGAAAACTTGCCCGACATTTTGCCCTGCTGGGAATCAAACCCAGGTCTCTCTCTTGCGAGGCAAGTGCTCTAACCACTTATGTTACTCTATAAATCCAAAGAAAAATTGCTGGCAAACATTTCCTCATTAATACAGGACAGAATTTAACATTTGTGTACAGTACATATCATTTTGAACAATTCTATGAATTTTGTTGTTGAATCAAATACTGTAAGTATACACGGACTGATGTTTCTAAAGTAAGTTGCAGGAAATAATATTGTAGAATAATGCGTTCTAAATTGTAAACTGTAACTTTGCTACCAATTGTCATTTAATTCCTCAACGTTTTGCACTCTTATTCATATATTCGCGAAGTATGATTACTATTGATCTGTTTTACATGAGCAACTGCTACTGTGATCTATAGTACTTGGAGACTTAAAATCCTAATGCAATTATGCTTTATGTCTTCCAAAACAGAGGAAATTTAGGAGGCGAGTTCATAAATCTTTAATTATGTGCAATGTAGATTGTTTTATGCCTCTCAATCAGATCGATGTCTTTCTCTAAATTTTTCATGCTAGCCTCAAGCCTTAGTTTGTTGTTTTTCTTCGGCAGTGAATCTATCACAACAGAAAGACCCTGGAATTCATGATGCAGCTCTTCCCAGTTCTTCTTCAGTCCCTAAAACATGAATAGGAACAAAACTGTTATAATAACAATCCTTGCATTTGATATAGAGCCATATCACGTCTTCGAGACATCTCAAAGCGCTTCACAGAATATACAGCAAAGTGAATTGACTGTATATTTTGCGGACGAAGCGCGACAGCCAATTGTGCACGGCAGTGTCCCACAGACAGTCGTGGATTGAAGTGACCAATTTTTTTTAAGCAATTATTACCCCCGGAAAGGAAATCCGCCAATCGACTAACAATCCGGTTCCTACTTACTGCTAGGTGAACAGAGCCGTGTGGAGTAAGGAAACTTGCCTAATGTTTCGCCCTGCCCAGGAATCAAACCCAGATCCCTCACTTGTGAGGTGTGTGCTCTATCCACTGATCTACAGGACTCCACTAAATCGTTAAAACATAGCACCATTATCATCATAATCCTTGCATTTGATATAGCACCTTATCACATCTGCGAGACGTCTCAAAGCGCTTCACAGGTTACACTGTAAAGTTGAGTGACTGTGTGCTTTGTGGGCAAAACTCGGCACACAAACAATCGTGGATTGAGTAACACACACACACACAGTAACAGACACGCACACAGACAGACACACCCACACCCACATACTGTGGGATCTAAATAAGAGGCAATTTAGAGGAAGTGAGGTAGACACATGAGGAAGATGGGAATAGAAGGGAGGGAGTAAGGAGTAGATGGAGAGTGCAGCATGTGGAGTAAACAGCAGGATAGACTATAAATTCTAAACGTATGATGTAAATCATCAGTTAGACTGCAGTTAGAATATTGGTGTCCAGTATTGGTCATCCCACTTTAGGATGACATCAAGGTGATAGAAGGGTGCTGAGGAGATTTACTCAGGGGTGTTTTTTTTTGGCCTACAAGTGGAGACTGGAGGAATTGGGACTATTTCTGCTGGAACAAAGAAGGTCGAGGGTGACCTGATAGAGGTCTTTAAAATTATGAGGCGTTTTGATAGTCAACAGGGAAAAAAGTACTTTCACTGGTCGATGAGTCAGTATAACTAGAGGGCATCTATTTAAGATAGTTAATGAGCAAATGAGTAGGTTAGGAGATATTTTTGGAGAGCAGTTAGGATATGGATATAGTGGGTGGTTGAGACAAATCCATATTGGTCTTCAAGAGGGAAAAATGCCTTAGAAAGAGGCGCATGGAGAAAGGGGTGGTAAATGGCACTGAAATGATTGTTCTTCAAGGAGCAGACATAGACACAATGGGTCAAATGGCCTTCTTCTGTGCCGTAAATTTCTATGGTTCTAAAATAGCAAGTACTGTAGATGGTTTGTCAGGAGCTTGCATTTTGAGGTTAAATAATATTACTTCAGTCAAGTTGGTAATACTAAAAAACTAACATTAAACAGGCAAAAAAATGAATTTCAACTTCCTTTAAAGTGGAAAGGTTATTGCAGCAGTAAGAAAAAGTGTAAATTGCAACCCTTTCTGTTTGATAACTGATAATAACTGGTTAATGTAATAGATACAGCTGTAGAAAATGAGGAACTGCACTGGCCTTCAAGTAATCCAGTAGCTTATAAATAAATTCCTGGTTTTCATATACTGTAATTAGGAACTCTGGAAGGAATACAGAGACAGCCTCCCAATGTGAAAGGCACAAAATAAATGTACATTTGTATTTTGATATTATAGACGTGATATTGAATGCAAGGATTATTTTTACTTTTATAACCCAAGCTTGGCATCACCCAACCACAACTTCCTGATTTATCTCAGCCTCTCACCTACTCTTTTCAGCCTTGCTGAACTCCTTCATTACTAATGGACCTTGGTTTTATCCCCATTTGTCTCCACTAAGAAAATAGGATACCCCTGCCAACCTGTAACACAGCATCTCGCTCCTCTTCAGTCAGCTGTTTCATAGCACCTTTCCTCATATACTCCTTTACATAAGCATCATATTCTTCTTGTACTCTTTTGACCTCTTCTTTCCGCTCGGTTATATATTGGGGTGTTTTACCAAAGTCCTATAAAATGAATTTTTCAGATTAACCCTTTGAAGACTATTTTGCAGCAATTACAATGCATTTTTTTTCTATTGAATATCAGTGCAGATCTATTTATTGCTAATATGGAATCAAAATGTGTTAAAAACAAATTATACAAACTGTAGGGACTAAATGGCCTTTTTTGACCAGAATATTTTGGCCAGAATATTTTGGAGCAGAATATAATATTTCTTGACGTCAACTGGATAACATGAAGGTAAGGGGGGAAATCGTTTTTTTTTAAAAAATATTAAAAATGAATATTAATTTCATCCTTATGGCAGAAAATATTATAATAGCAATCAAAGCTCAGTAGCTCAATTACTTGGCAGGAGAATAATCAAGTTTATGAGCAGGCAGCCTGGGGGACTCTGTCAATATACTTCACACTGTACGTGTATTCTTGGCCGAGCTCTGAGATGGAGCATCGACCAAAGGTGAGGTGTTTCATTACAGTACAGAAAATAGATACAGGAAGCTCATCTTTGAATTATATTTCTTACTGAGTGATGAGCATATATTGTTATCAGATCAAGCTTCTTATCTGGAGGAAAATTGAGGGATAGTACCAAATGCTAAGAAGCAAAAAGAGTTAAAAATCTATATACGGTAATAGCTTTAGAAATGGAAGGCACAGTTTTGGAGAGGAGATGTGGAAAGCAAGGCGAGACTTCGCATCAATAATTGTATGCACTTGAAAGGAAAATCCCAACTATGAAATGTTCTTTGGTTATTACAGATTTGATTCAAGGAGGTAAATTGTATGCTTTGTGAAACATAAAGCACATTTTAACTTATTGAGGTGAGTGATGAAAGACCCTTAACAGTTTGGTGAAAAGTTGATTAAAATGTTGTAAAATTAAGATGAGGAAGTCATTGGTTAAGTACTGAAGGCACATGCATCAATGCATTCTGTGTGCAGTTTTGTAGCCCAGAGGGTGAGGAGAGATTCTGAGAACATTTAGTGACAATCTAATCAAATGCTTGTTGAGAGAAAACATCACTTATGACATTGCACAACAGTGACATGTGAAGAGTTTTTTTTAAAAAAAATGTTTGGCAAGCAGTAAAAACCTGAAAGCCTTATTTAACGTTTGTTGAAGGATTTTAGAAATTGATGTGACAAGTTAGCATTCATAGACAAATAGTGCAGTGAGAAAAATCTACCCACATATTGCTAAACAAATCTAAGTCATTACCTTTTTCTTCAAGTATTTATGAACGAGCCCTGAAGGTTCTAGTAGGTTTTTATTTCCTCTTTTAGTATCAACATAGATGGGCACAGGCTTCTTTGGTACTTTCATCAAAATATCCATCACATTATTATGGACAAAGTTCTTCTTACTTTGTAGTCCCATGATAGGTTTCTCATTTGTAATGGTCACCTGTCCACTGTTCTCTCGGCATTTGAATGGTTTCCCTGTGGAATCAAAATGATCACTTTCCTGTTCCAACAAGACAGACAGACCCAATTGCTTCCATTATTATTTGGCAATATGGTATCATGATTAAATCTGGTTGACTTGGCAGACAAAAGGTTTAAAGAAATGCAAAACTTTTTTTTTTTAATTTGCTAGTTTATAATACTAATCCCTACATCTGATATCACCTTTCAGGAAGCCGTGTTAAAGCACTTCACATGTTTACCTGTAGAATTTAGTGATTGTATTTTGTAGGTGAACGCGACAGCCAATTTGTACAAAGCGATGTCCCACAAACAGCCTTGAATTGAACGACGAATTTTATCTGGGTGTTTGCTGGCCAAGTCACCAAAAGAAATTCTCTTTTTTGAATAGTGACATGGGATCTTTAACGACCGCCTGATCAGGCAGATAATATCTCAGTTTTACACTTCATGCGAAGGCCAACACCTCAGACACTCCACCAGCATTTTACTGGAGTGTCAGCCAACAACAACAACAACAACAACAACCACTTGCATTTATATAGCACCCCTCACGCAGGGCAGCATCCCAGAATGCTTGACAGTGGTGGAGCACGAAGCCAAGCTGGGGGGAAGGGGGAGGTGACGGGAAGCACGGTCGAATAGGATGGTCTTCAGGAGCGACCTGAAGATGGGGAAGGAAGGGGCAAGAGTAGAACAAGAGGACACAAGTTTAGGGTTGCAAAAGGCAATTTCAAGGCAGACACCAAGAACTATTATTTATCAAGAAGATAATTAATGACTAGAACAACTTATCAGGAAGGGTGGTTGATGCCGGGACATTGGACCCATTTAGAAAAATGCTCAATGCTGTCATGGGAAGATGGTACGGTGGGTTTTCTGGAAGGATGAGATCCAAAGGGCTTTTTCAAACAAATTTCGCTTGCAATTTGATTAATAGAGTCTCCTTCTGGTAACCAGAAATGGTCATACCATACTGTGGGAACTCCAGTTTATTGATCACATCAGTGCAGAGTCCCCATAGGTCAGTCAGGCTGATGCACTAATGTGTAATGGCACAAACTACTACTGGCAACTTTGTTGGCCACTTTTTATATAATTATATTATAAAATATTATATTTGAAATATTCCATTCCAATTCCATTTTATTGCAAACTATTAATCACTTTGAGAATGGATCATGCCACTATAAGACAATCCTGTTATAAACTAGGTTAAAAACATGAAAAAATGTCCACCTTCGCAAAATGAAATTAGTGGCGTCTCCTGGTGTACAAGCGCTCCGGGAAGCCCTGGGTGAAGGGCGCTGTATAAATGCAAGTTGTTGTTGTTCTACATGCACAACACATAAGAAGTAAGGTTTGTGCTGTTTCCTATGCATAGCCTATAGGAAGTACCATCAGCAGTGATCTAACAATCTGTAAGACAGTTATTTTTTAGCAGGGGATTACTGGCTGGGTAGACCATGCTTCAAGTATAGTGCACAAGGTCTGCAGTACACAGTACTAAAAATGACCTGCAATCTAAGTAGAATCACACTAAACTGGGTTGCATTATAAAAGGAATCGCCTTGTAAATGGTTTATATTATCTAAATTTGTGCTGGATATATATTGGGCCAACCTGTATCGGGTATCTTCCAAGCGGAAGGGGATGTAGTCCAGATTCAGATAGTCTGTGACTTAAGTACTTTTCAGTGACCTCTCAGAAGGTTTGAAAAATCAGATGATTGCAGATATTCACAATATCACCAAGCAAAGTACGGGTAGTTCATTTCTACATTGTCTAAAAACAGCCGGAACTCACTCACCCAACCAGAGAAAGGAAACTGCAGCTTAAGAATTCGAATACTCAACCAGCAAAAGTTCAAGTTAACTGATTACAACTGTTGAGCTTTTGGACCTCTTAAATTTTAAAGCAAACAAAATATTTTAAAGCTGAGCTGAAGTATATAGATATACAAGCACAGATATACAACATGTTGTTATACTTTACAGAGTCTTACCTTCAAATGGCTTTGGTTCCTTGGAATGCTTTTGTAGAAAATATTTTGGGCAAGGCCGTTCAACTTTGGCTAATCCCATTGTTTTGTGTGAAGATTTCTTACTTTCCCACTCCTTTTCTATTGTTTCCGTATGCTTGGAAATAAACCTAATAGAAAAGTATACACAGTATTGTATTATACATTTCAATTAATAATAATAATCTTGTATTGATACAGTGCTTATCACATTGGGAGGATATCTCAAAATGCTTCACAGGATATACCGTGAAGTGATGTGATTATGTATTTTGTGGGCGAACAAGACAGCCAATTTGCGCAAGTGACATCCCACAAACAGCCATGAAGTGAACGACCAATTTTTATTTGTGGGATTGTTGGCCCAAATAAAAAACTGGCATTCAGTTGTTGTTTTTTTGGAGTCACTTTTCGACTCACTTCCTCACTATCTGTCTTTAAATCCTGTCAAAAAAAAACTTACTTCTTTAACTATGCCTATATCCCCCTCCTTCCTTGCTTGGCATTCGATCCTGTTAAGTGGTTCACAAAGTTATACTACATAAAGGGCACGATATAAATACAAGTTGTTGCTGTCTCCAAAAGGATTATTTCAGTGAAAAATAATAACAATCTTTGTATTTGATTTAGTACCTTATCAAGGCATTGAAATGTCTTGTAGAGCTTCACAGGATTCATTGTAAAGTTTAGGGATTATGCATCTGTAGGTGAACCTGGCAGTCAATTTGGGCACAACATTGTATTAAAAACAACCATGAAGTGAATGACCAATTTCATCTGGCCAGGACACTTCCTATCAGACATAAATATAAGTATAGTTTCCAACCTTTCCATTTCATTTAGGAAATAGAAACAAGTCATGCTCCTCAGATGTTCCTGCTGGATGAAAAGGCACACAATGCTATGAGTGTTTATTTAATTTCTATGGAAGATGTTGCAGACAGTAGCACTTTGAGGAATGCCACCCGAGATGATGTGGGGGCTAGAGGAGAAACCATTTGTGGAGATGAAGTGGAGGCGGGGTGAGAGGTACAATCTGAATCATTCAAGGACAGAACTGTGAAGGTTGAGGTGAGAAGAGAGGCGGTAGATGAGGATACAGATTGGTCAACGGTGTCGAAAGCAGCAGAGAGGTCAAGGAAGATGAGGAGGCAAAGGGAGCCCTGGTCGCAGATGGACAGAATGTCATTTGTCACTTCGACCAGGGCTGTTTCTGTGCTGTGGGTGGCAAGGAAACCCGATTGGAGGGGTTTGTGAAGAGAGTGGCGGGAGAGGAAGGAGTGAAGGTGGGAAACAACAACTTATTCAAGGACCTTGGAGAGGAAAGGAAGGTTGGAGATGGGGCAGTAATTTGAGAGCAGAAATGGGTCCAGGGAGGGTTTTTTAAGGATAAGAGTGATGACGTCTGTTTTTAAAGGGGTGGCAATGGTACTAGTGGACAGAGAGAGGTTTATGATGTCTGTGAGTAGAGGGGCAAGGAGGTGGAACTGGGAGGTAAGGAGAGGGGCAGGGATGGAGTCGATGGAGCAGGTGGTCGGTTTCATGCGGGTTATAGTGGTGGTGACGGGGAGACAGGTTCAAAGGTTTGAAGGGAGGGATGGGTAGTGGCCGGGGTGAGAAGGGGAGATGGGCAGGGGATAGTAGACAGAAGAGCAAAGGCAGCTGAGCGGATCCCCTCAAGATTCGAGGAAGTCCAGCATTGCCTCGCCGTTGGCATTGGAGGTGAGGATGGGTGAGGCGTGAGAGGGTGGGAGGATGAGCCAGTTGGTGATGGAGAAGAGGAGCCTTGGGTTGTCCTTGGCCTCCAAGATTGTCTTGGAGTAAAACACGATTAAACGGTGGTGAGAGCGGAGTGGTAGGATTTGATAAGGTCCAGCCAGATCTGCCGATGGACCGTTAAGTTTAACTTAAGCCAGGTGCGTTCAGCGCACCCACCTGTGCTTTAAGGGAGTGGAGATGGCTAGTGTACCAGGGTGACTTTTGTGAGTAGGAGATGGTTTGGGAAGTGAGGGGGCAAGGGAATCGAGAGTGGTGTAGAGGGAGTTGTGGAGAAGAGTGACCAAGGAGGATAGGTCATTGCGGGAGGAAGCCCAGGGGGGAAGAAGTTCAGATGACTCCAAGACAGTTGAGAGGGAGAGGGAGGAGAGTTTTTTTCCCAGGGATGATAGGAGATGGAAGTGGGTTGGGTGGCAGTGGGGAGAGGGATTGAGGAGTTGAGGGAGATGAAATGATGGTCCGAGGTCGCTTTGTCGATGATGGTGAGGTCCGAAACAGTGAGGCTCCAAGTGATCACCAGGTCGAGGGGGTAACCGTGGATATAAGTGGCGGAGTGGATGCGGAGGGAGAGATTGAGGGAGGACATAAGAGAGGAGAAGTCAGCAGAGGTAGATCAGGTGGGGGTGAAGTGAAAGTTGAAGTCGTCTAGGATGAGGAGGCGTTCAGAGCAGAGGGAGAGGGAAGATAGGAGGGTGGGGATATGGAGGAAGGTGAGGGAGGGCTTGGGGTTGGTGATAAAGAGAATTTTGAGGGAAAGGTTGGAGGGGTGATAAAGGACAAGGTGCTTGACGGAGGGGAAGTTAGTTACCAAAATGTTTATCTCACCTGGTTTCCCCCCTCTGTACAATATCAAGGCAATAATAGATTAGGTGAACTAAAGCTGCATACAATAGACCAGATAGGATCTGACCACTCCCTAATTTGTTGATTTGCATTCCGAATCATACCACTGTATACGTCTCTGTGCTAAAGTCACTCATTACTTTATTTGCCTTCTTTTACTGCCACCACCAGTTTCAAAGATTCATCCATTTCCTGAATCCATCCTGATTGTTCTTTAACAAGCTCTAAATTTCAGATTTGTTCATTAGGTCTTTCAAATAGACTGGCTTCACAATTGATGTTAAAATTACTGGCTTAGTAACCAGAGCATTTCTCTTGCCCATTTAGGACTATTTCCACAGTGGTTTAAGCCAAAAGCTTTATTTATTGCATTCACCTTTTATTTGTTACTTAGGGCTCATCATATTACTGAAGTAATTGGCTGCTGCGTTTCGCCCATAAAATATACAGTCAATTATTATTATTCCTATTATCATTTATTGACATCAATTATCAATGTTTGTTATCAGTTTATTAATGTTTATATTATTTATTGACAATAATTTAATTTATTAGTCTATATCCTTTATCGGGTAATTGCTGTCAAATCCTGTATCTGTGTATTTCTTCACCAACCTGTCCCCTCACTCCACTCTGCAGGTACTGGCCTGTTTCACGTCCCTCGTCTTGCCTGCTCCACTATCGGCGGTTGGGCCTGTAGCCTTTCTACCCCCACACTCTGAAGCTTCATCCCGGAGCCCCTCGGCCTCACCTGCTTCCTTCAATGCCCATTTCAAGACCTTTTTCAACCATGCCTTCGGTCATCTTCCCTTCTATCCCAACCCCTTGCCCTCCACCCCTTTCTTATCCCAACCTGCAGCTTGGGTGCAATCCCCTCATTGTCCAACACCTTGGGACCTCCTCCTGATGTGAAAGCTGCTATATCAATGCAATTTGTTGTTGTTGTATTTGTAGGAAAACAAGGCAGCCAATTTTCACACTGCAGTTTCCCACAAACAGTGATAATTGGTGGATTGCTTTTCCGGGGGTAACAACCCCTTCAAAAATAAATAAATAAAATAATAATGCTAATAATGATAATTTGGTCACTCAATCCACAACTGTGCGAAATTGGCAGCCGCGTTTCACCCACAAATATATACAGTCAATTCACTTTATGGTATATTCTGTGAAGCGCCTTGAGATGCCTCGAAGATGTGATAAGATGCTATATCAAATGCAAGGATTATTATTATTATAAAGTGAATGATTCATTAAATGGAACATCGTTAAGCCAGGATACTGGGCCAAACTACCTTCTTTTTTCAAATACTGTAGTGACATGGATCTTTAACAGGTAGATGAGGTGGTGAGGAGAACGATGACTGAAAGCATGGTCAGAGAGGTAGATCTTGAGATAAACCTTGAAATGATGTGAGGGAAGGACCGAGTCAGATGGACTCCAGGATGAAGCTCCAAAGAGTGGGAGCAGACAGACTGCCGACAGGGTGGCGGGATATGAAGCAGACTGCTACCTTTTGAGCGTAGGGAATGGATGGGTTGGAAGGGAGGGTTTGAGGAGGTTGCAGAGCTGGATGGAGCAACACCATGAAGCAATTTAAAGGTGAGGAAGAGGATCTTGAACTTGATCTGCTGAGGAGCCAATGGAACGGGGCGAGAATGGGGGCGACAGTCTTGTGGAGCCTAGGGAAAGGACATGGGCTGCAGAGCTCTGGATAGTTTGCAGTCTGTGCCGGCAAGAGTTAGGCAGAACAGTAAGCAGAACATTAGCGACAACGACGGATGGCGTTTGTTTAAGCGCCTTTTTCACGCCAGGAGGACGTCCCAAGGCGCTGGACAGTCGGGGACTCGCACCTGAGCAGGTGGGGGGGGGGGGGAGGGAGGGCGGGCAGGGGAGTGGTAGGGAGGGTGACCGATGGCGAGGTTGAAGAGGAGGGTCTTGAGATGGGTCTTGAAGGAGGGAGGGAGGGAGTGGTGGGGGGGTGCGAGGCGGAGGGGACCGCGGGACGGAGTTCCAGAGGGTGGGGACAGAGGCTGAATGGCCCGAACAGCTTCCAGCAGCACAGCACTGAGCTCTCATCAGGGACTTTCTCCGGGGGCCCCCAGTGTCCATGATGATTAAAGCCTCCCGACCCCTGTCGCTGTCACTGGGGAGGTCCCCGGGCTCTGGGCTGGTCCCCCCCCCCCCCCCCCGGGCTCTGGGCTGCCCCCCCTCCCCCGGGCTCTGGGCTGGTCCCCCGGGCTCTGGGCTGGTCCCCCCCCCCTCCCCCGGGCTCTGGGCTGGTCCCCCCCCCCTCCCCGGGCTCTGGTCCCCCCCCCCCGGGCTCTGCCCCCCCCGGGCTCTGGTCCCCCCCCCGGCTCTGGGCTCACCTGGGAGGGCGCTTGAATCTCGTGACCTCCCGGGGCAGGAGGTTGTAGACGCACTCGGATGGGTAGGGCCTCTCCATGGCGCTCGGGGCCGCGGACCGACACAGACACAGCCCCGGGGCCGGGATCTGGACAACCACCCGCGGCGTTGCCACGGTCACCGATCAACACGCGCGTTACTACGGACGTCACTTCCGCTGTCTGTCATTCGCGCTCATTGTTTGTCTGTGACCAGGACAACAGCCACAGGGAGAGAGGGGGAGAGAGGGAGTGTGAGAGAGGGGGAGAGAGGGGGGGGAGAGGGGGGAGGGAGAGAGGGAGTGTGAGAGAGGAGAGGGAGAGAGGGGGGGAGAGAGAGAGAGAGAGGGGGGAGGGAGAGACAGAGTGTGAGAGAGAGGGAGAGGGAGAGACAGAGTGTGAGAGAGAGGGAGAGAGGGGGGAGGGAGAGAGGGAGTGTGAGAGAGAGAGGGGGAGGAGAGAGGGAGAGAGGGGGGAGGGAGAGAGGGAGTGTGAGAGAGGGAGAGAGGGAGAGAGAGAGAGGGGAGGGAGGGAGAGAGAGGGGGAGAGAGAGACAGAGTGTGAGAGAGAGGGAGAGAGGGGGGAGGAGAGAGGAGAGAGGGGGAGGGAGAGAGGGAGTGTGAGAGAGAGGGAGAGAGGGGGGAGGGAGAGAGGGAGTGTGAGAGAGAGAGGGGGGAGGGAGAGAGGGAGAGAGGGGGGAGGGAGAGAGGGAGTGTGAGAGAGGGAGAGAGGGAGAGAGAGAGAGGGGGAGGGAGGGAGAGAGAGGGGGGAGGGAGAGACAGAGTGTGAGAGAGAGGGAGAGAGGGGGGAGGGAGAGGGGAGAGAGGGGGAGGGAGAGAGGGAGTGTGAGAGAGAGGGAGAGAGGGGGAGGGAGAGAGGGAGTGTGAGAGAGAGAGAGGGGAGGGAGGGAGAGAGAGAGAGGGAGGAGGGAGAGAGAGAGGGGGGAGGGAGAGACAGTGTGAGAGAGACAGAGAGAGAGATAGAGTGAGAGAGACAGAGAGAGAGAGACAGAGAGAGAGAGACAGTGTGAGAGAGAGGGAGAGAGAGAGTGTGTGTGTGAGAGGTAGAGAAAGTGAGAGAGACACTGATGGAGTGAGTGTGAGAGAGACGCGGGGGAGAGATATGGGGAGCGAGAGAAAGAGAGAGAGACATGAGGAGAGAGAAAAGGGAAGTGAGACAGAGAGAGGAGGGGAGTGAGACAGACAGATGGGGGGCGGGGGGGGGGTAGAGAGAGACATGGGGAGTGAGAGAGAGAGAGAGAGATAGGGTGTGAGTGAGAGCACTTGGGAGTCAGAGACAGAGAGGCTTTTTTGGTCAGGTGGGGGTGTCCGATACACAGCCAAGCTGAGAGCTCGGTGCATCCCACCTGTACACGGAAATTCCAGAGGTGGTCACTGGGACTGAACCCTTGTTGGAGGGTCGCATCCCGCTTACCTAGTTCTGGAAAGTATTAGGCGCCGCAAGTTGGCCCGAGCCAATGCGCTCCCCAGAGTGTGCGTCGGGGTACTGCTGGAGTCGAACTATCTAAAAACCGCATAACTCTCCACATAACTGAGAGCACTGTCTGTCTGGCAAGCTTTCCCTCGGCTCGTCTCGCTAGGACCGCCCGACCTGTTGGGGCTTTGGCTTGCAGGGTTAACGGGAGCCGAATGGGAAGAGTCCCAGTTACTGGTCTGCCCGTCCGGGTCCTGCCAATGTGCCAGGCTGGCTGTGCTGTCATCAGCAGTGCCCTGGAATATTGCGGACCCTCCTGGCTCGGGAACTGGAGTACTGAGACCCCCATAGAGTTAGCTCAATTCTGACATTCCGTTGCAAAGCATGTCACCTTGGTTCCAGTTTGGCTCCAAAGAGACCCCCCCCCCGCTTACCTCCCCCCACAAGGAGGATAGTTGAAGGAGAGACACAGAGGGAATGAGATAGAGAGACAGAGGGAGTGAGAAAGAGAGAGAGAGAGTGACATTGGGAGTGAGTTAGAGACGCGGGGCTTGAGAGAGAGAGTTTGGGATTGAGAGAGAAACATGGGGAGTGAGAGAGATACAGAGAGACGGGGAGTGTGAGAGATAGAGACATGCACAAAGATTATTAGTTTATTATTATTTTACCCCTTTACATTGTGGAAACCAGAATGGTATAAGTTAGTCAAGGTTATGCCTGTCCTGAGCCTTGTACAGCTAATGTGTTATTTAATCTGGCCAGCAATGAGCAACCAGTATTATACACTGAATAAATGACAAACAAAAGCAGGCTGTGCAGAATTTATTTTGGGTGCCATTCTACCAGAAGTGACATATGGTACGTGGGCAGACAGTCTATGGAAATCAATATGATTAACTTCCATGCTGTGATGTCTGACTGTTCCATCTATTTGTTCATCAGATTATTTATTAATTTTCAGGATTAGGAATGTGTTGATGTGTAATGCAAATAGAACCGTACAATTGTGAGAACATGCTTTTGTGCCTTTCTATGTAGTGTGTACTGTGGGCGTTTCGCCCACAAAATATACAGTCAAATTTACAGTATATTCTGTGAAGCACTTTGAGACATCTCAATGGCATGATAAGGCGTTATATTAAGTGCAAGGATTATTATTATTCCATGAAGTTCCATTTGAATTTTTGAGCATTTTTCTTTCCAGTAAAGAAATGTTTTCTTTACTTTAAATAAGAAACATAAACAAAACCTAACTTTTAGATTTCATATTTTCATTGTTGGCAAGCATTGTCCGTGATATACATTCTCTGTGTGAACATTATCAAATTTCACATTATCTGGCAATTAGAAATTTGTCTTAAAATGGTTTTAGTTGGCCTCCAAGTACTTTACAGAAATTTGTGAATCGCTTTGAGATGTTCTTGATATTTTATCAATTGCAAGGATTATTATATGGTTACACACATCTCTGCAGTTAAGCAGGTTCTCTGTTAAACACAATTACATCTAATACAATTGTTTAGTTTATTGATCGAGTATTTTTTTTATTGGTGAAGTGCTATTTGTTGTAAAATAACATGCCATTCTTTCTCTCCTTGTGAGTCAATAGTAACGAGAGCAAAGAGTACAATTAGCAATCTCGTCTATGAGTAACTGATTCAAATACAAAATACCACAGGCAATAGTTTGTGTCTAATTTAATTCAGTCATTTTTTTTTAAGTTTTACTGTTATTTGTTCAAAAAAACATACTCACAGACTCAGGTTTATTCCTACGTATTACTGGAGCCTCAGCCTTTAGAATGTGTTTTTTCTTAAATTTTTCTCAATAATTCTCAGCTGAAGCTTTTTTCTTACTCCATTTTCTTCAGTGAGTCAATCCTCACGAAAGTGTGGATGTCAAAAAAAACCTGGGGGTGGAAGTGTGAATGTAGCTCCTCTTGAAAATGTGTCAATAGTCAGTTATCCACAATATATGTTGGCACAGAACCGGTTTGCAAACCTGTTTACCCATACATTAAGAAAAACAAGATTAACTTAGCAACTAAATTAGCACGGTGGTATGAAAAACTAAATTCACATTTCTGGAAATTATTAACACAGTTCCAGACACAGTGAGACACATTTCGCATTGAGAATGTGATCATGTTGCAATGAGAGATTCTGGAAAAGAATGGGGGGGTGGGGTACGGTGTGTAAAGTAATAACTGTATATAGAAGCTGTGAAATTCTACTGCTATAAAATACACCTTTTTTCAGCACGCAGTTTTAGACTGACACTTTAATGAGTATGAATCCATCAATGGAATCCATAATCATTTTTGATCATCCTCAATTACAGTTATGGTGTTTATCTAAAATTTCTACCTGGTTGATGTACTGCTGGGATCCTAATTTTAATAATTTTAATGTGGAGTCCTGCAGCTCAGTGGTTAGAGCACTCACCTTGCAAGCAAGACACCTGGGTTCAATTCCAGGCAGGGCGAAACCTTGGGCAAGTTTCCTTACTCCACACGCCTAATAATAATCCCTCCAAAAACAAAACAATAATAACTTGGTCATTTTCGATCCACGACTGTTTGTGGGACATTGCTGTGCGCAATTGTGCTGCCGCGTTTCGCCCACAAATATACAGTAAATTCACTTTACAGTCTATTCTGTGAAGCGCTTTGAGATGTCTAGAAGACATGAAAAGCGCTATATCAAAATGCAAGGATTATTATTTTATTATTATAAGAGAGAATTTGATAGCACTATACTTGTTTGAGCCTTGTAACCTGTAATAATTGTAAAGAGCATATAATAATAATCCTTGCATATAAAATTGCACCTTACAGTAAAGTGGTATGACTGTGTGTATTTTATGGATGAAACACACCAGTTAGTTTTGCACACAGCAATATTCTACATATAGATTTTTTTTTATTTGGGGGATTGTTGGCCAGGATACGGGATAAATTGGAGTCCTTTAGCTCAGTGGTTAGAGCACTCGCTTTGCAAGTGAGATTAGTGGAGTCCTTTAGCTCAGTGGTTAGAGCACTCGCTTTGCAAGTGAGAGACCTGGGTTTGATTCCTGGCAGGGTGAAATCTTGAGCGAGTTTCCTTACTCCACACGCTTGATAATAATCCCTCAAAAAAAATAATAATAAATTGGTCATTTCAATTCAAGACTGTTTGTGGGACACTGCTGTGCATAATTGGCTGCCGCATTTCACCCACAGGTATACAGTCAATTCACTTTACAGTCTATTTTGTGAAGCACTTTAAGACGTGTAGAAGATGTGAAAGTGCTATATCAAATGCAAGGATTATTATTATTATAAATTCTTTATTTGAATAGCACCATGGGATCTTTAGAGCCCACCTGAACAGGCAGATAGGAGCTCAAACAATGCAACACACCCACAGCAATGAGTGGAGTGAGCTTAGATGATATGGGTTCTAAGACCTAACCTGGGGCTAGAACCCACAACCTTCTGATTCAGATGGGAGACAGAGCTCTTAACAGGACCAGGCTGACACACAGTGCGATGAGAGTTCCACATCTGCCAGCAAACGTACAATTACAGCACTGATTTCCAACTCAGTATCCTATATTCCTTCAGCTTTGAAGACAATCTGAGAATATAACAGCACCATAGAACCACAACAAAAACAACAAAATTACATTTGTATAGTGCCTTTCACATTGGGATGACATCCCAAGATGCTGGACACACCGAGTTTCTGACCCAAGCTGGGGGTCTGGGTGGGGGAGTGTGGAGGGCAGGGGGGAAGCAGGGAGATCGAAAGCATGGTCGAAGAGGAGGGTCTTAAGATGGGTCT